CCTCAGAAGCCCCCACACACACACACACACATTGAGTGTCACCAGGCATGGGAATGCCACTGCTCAGAAGTGCTTTAGAGCCAAGAGAGGCCTTTATTAAACCAGGAAGGGAGCCAGATGTCTAAGGAGCATGTGGAGGCATTTTGAGTTTAATTTCTTTAAGAAGAAAAAAAAAATGGGCAAACAACATTCTGGTTCCATGGGGGAGCCATGAAACAGATGTGGTCCCCCCATTCATATGTCTTTGTTGAAGGATTGGAGGTTCTTTGCTTTTTGCCTGCCAATCTACATCTAGCTAGAGACCCTTCTTGTCTACCATTTTGGTCACTCAATCAGTATTGTCCAGTAGGCAGATTGATGTCAACAATTCCCTTAAGAATCTCTTAAGATCTGGAATTTCAGGGTATTTTATGATGGAGTATATGCAGGTGGCTTTCTTGATATTTATTGGTGCAAAACAAATCAATTTATACGTTTGCACACTCCAAGAGGAGGACTGTCATATCACATGAACCCTACATTGTCTAGGCCAGGGGTAGGCAACCTTTCCCCTTTAAGGACCGAGGGACTTCAGTTCCCAGAAGTCTCAGCCATGTTGGCCAATAGTCCCATGTTGGCCAATAGCTCCTGGGGTTCTGGGAGCTGAATCCCTCAGCCCTTAAAGGGGAAAGGTTGCCTACCCCTGATCTAGGCACATTTCTTCCATTGCATATAGCAGCATAGAAGTATATTATTATATCATTACATAATGTAGGCTTATCTCTCTTCTTGTATAAGAAAAATACATAACTGTCTGGTGGGACCAAGCAGCATTGTGGAGTATGTTTCTCAGACTAGAAAACAGCAAGGGGAGCAGCTGTATGAAGAAGCTGCTGGAAATTGTCATTGGTTGCTTGCCTTTGTCTGACCTGAGGTCAGTTTTATAGCTGCCACTGGTACCTCCTAATCTGATCATCAGCCACTATGAGAATGGGTTTATCGCTTCTCATCACATACTCACAATTAAAAGTACTATCTCTGCCTGGATCTGTCTATTTGTGATCACATGTGACTAAACCCCCTCTTGATTATGGATTACACCTATATAGGTTTTCTCTTTTTCTACAACACACTGGGCCTCTGTTTATATAAACGTTAAATAATATTCATAATTAATGAGCACTATGCTCAGACAGCTGTAGTACATGGTTTCTCTAAACAGAATTAACTCTATTAATCTTACAGATCCACCACCGACAATATAGTGTACAATCACTTCCATAATAACACATTTGATTTTCAATAACCAATTAGAGTGTCTGAAATTGGCGAAATATTATGGCTAGCCTATAATTACCAATTCCCTGTGATGACCCATTGTGGGCTAGTCAGCCTTGCAACCCTTGGCAACTGCTCACACCTATACTACAGAGACACAGAATCCAAAGGCTGGCCCCTAGAGACAGCTCCCTAGTTACTCTTCTCATGAGCTATTGCTTCTGTGGGTTTGTTTCCTTCCAAAACTGAGGTCACACTTAGCACAATTATGCCTGCCCCCCCCATTCCCAATGAGTGGGTAAAGCTTCCTCTGTGGATAGTTTTTCTAGTTCTTATTAATTCTAAAATTTGATATTTGGGAATGTTGCCATAGCATGTCTTCTACCAAAAGTTTGGGAAATGTTACTTTTCTGTTGAACTCTTGCTGTGCAAGGTGGAAGTGGGAACTGCTTTCTTGTACACCATTGCTGACCTTGTTGGATTTTATTATGACAACAAAAGTAGAGTTTAACACTTACATCTCCTGGGGACTGGGCTGAATGAATAATTACTTGTAAAATGCACACAACAAAATCCCTACAGTTTTTCCCCCTTCTCTACATGGCTTTTGGCAAGAATGGTTTAATATGGAAAAGTGACAAGGGAAAAGAAAGTGCTTTCCCTCCTCCAAACTGCATACTTTCCCGTTCAGTGTGATTGCAAACCCAAAGATATGCTTAAATGCTGTCTGTGTGTGTGTGAAGTTTAGATTAGAAGAGAAGTAGAGGATAAAGAGTTCAACATGCTCCTCCCAATGCTTCGCTGTTCTGCATCAACCCCATTCACAGCAGATCTTACCTCAAAATAAAAGACAGTTGAGCTTTATGACATCTGTTTGGTTTAACACTTACTCAGAAATACATTTCTCAGAATCACACTCAAACCAATATGTACTCAGCCCGGGAGTGTTTCAGAAGCTGGAGCTAGTGGAAAATGCAGTGGCTAGATTGTTACCTGGTGTCTGCTTTAGAGTCCACATATTAACAATCTTATATCAACTTTTCAAGCTTTCAGTTTGCTTCTGAGCTCAGTTCAAGGTCAGTTATGATCTACAAAGCTTTAAATGGCTTGCAGCTAGGATATCTGAAAAACCTTCTCCCATATGGACAGGCCCAGAAATTGAGATCCTCAATGGAGACTGTTCATTCCGTCCTCCAACAAAGAGGCTTTGTTGGTGAGTATGCTGGCAAA